CAGTGAGGGCGCACTTTACGTCGCAGACGCAGCTAATTTAAGATTTATATTTATTGATGATTAATTATCCATCATATATTCGTTATATAATCGCGATTCATTCGATTTTAAAATATTAAATCGATTATTGACTGAAACAAACGATTCACGATTCAAAAATCCATGTTTCAAGATCGATGCATATGCATCGGCAGGATTTGTAATCGATGCATCGAGAAAATGAATGAATCGTTACACCCCTACTTTTCACACAAAGAAGTGAAAAGATAACCGGGTAATCTCACTATAAGTGCTGTTTAGCTATAGTTGTAGGATTGCGTTGACCTTTTTAACGCCTACTTGTAAGCCATGCATTTTCAGCAATGCTAAAGGTTTACATTCTTTTTACTTGTCATACAGCTTAGAAGTTTTTCCAAGACAAGAAAATCACGTCTTAATCTTAAGAAATGATCATAACGTCTCCGAAACAAATGATTTATCACAGTTGAAAACAGCTACTACTGTTTAAAATGCTGCTCCCACTTTAAAATCAAGTAGTCCAAATAAATGGTTAATACTTAGATCTATTTTTCAGACATAAGTCCACATTTAACAACCATTTTGAAAGATTTCACATCATTTAAAATTAAAATGTGTTTGTAACATCAAAATATTCAATGTACTTCATAATTATCAGGATAGCTTCTCTGATGTTTATCAGGAAGTTAAAAGCAAGTCATACAGGAAGAAAAAGAAAAGCGAAGAAATCTAAGCAAGAGAAATTTTAAGCCAAAGTTTATTGAAAAACAAGCATATGGAGAGGACAGTGATCCAGCAGACCGGCGCCAAAATGCGTTTCGAAATGCAACCTACAGTATCAGACGCACAAAAATCTTACAAGTAGTCAGTGTCACAATATAGTATGAAAACGAATAAAGCGCTGGAATCATCTGCTGATACGGCCCCCAAGGGCATAGTGTGTAAGACACACCGGGGGTCAAACAGAGTGCCAGCAGGGGGAACTCAGGGGAAGAACCCTATTATAACAGCCCAGATTACCCTGTAGTCTCTCGGCTGACAAACTGAATTTCAAAGAAGGGTTTTGTGGAGATACCCTGATGGTGTAGTTATTTTTTCCCAGTGAAACAGGAAACTATGTTACGCAAATGAGGTCAGACACAGACTGTCAAATACCATGCGAGACTCAGAACTGTCATAGCTGTACTTTTGTATTTTGATTCAAAAAGAGGCACCTTCTCACGCAGAAGAGTGTGGTGCTCCAGGCCCCCCCTGCACATCCCTGCTGGCTGTGTCCAACTGTAAAGGTTATTAGTGGAAGCTGATTGAAAATGAAAAACATTTTTCTTTGGAAGCTGGAAAAAAATGTGCCATTTCATGTTTGAAAGACATAAAAATGGAACTGCAATGGATTGCACTGGATCATATTAGATTGTAAAGCTGACTTTTTTTTTTTTGCTTTGTAGCATGTTTAAGGAAGAAGCCCAGCTTTTTAAAATGAACTATGAAAACTAATCAATCACCCAAAGAAACAAATCCCATTTTTCCAGAATACACACACACACATACACACACGTTTGTATTCACATCTTTGTGGGGACCATCCATTCATTTTTATGGGCAAAACCCTAGTCCGAAAAATGACAACCTGAACCCCTAACCCAGCCCATTTTTAGTTTTTTGATTGCAGCCACCGATTTTTATAAAATTGAGTTTCCCCTTGCAGGGGCTGAAAAAATGGTCCCCACAATGTCAAAATACCGTCACATTGTGGGAATATTTGGTCTTCTTTGGTCACGCTGTAATATATACATGCCCCAAAAAGCCATAGAGCACGCACACTGTCACTGGCTGGGCCGTCACATCGCCAAGAAGCCTAAGCCAATCTAAACTGCTTCACATCCGCGGCCATCCCTCCCAGCCAGTCGCCACTGTATGATTGGCCAATCTTCCAGGGAGTAAGATGTCGGCTGATTGACAGAGCGCAGCCTCGTGTCTGTGGGCACCCGGGCGGGCAGCCTCCTCGCGGCTTGGGGCTCTTTTGGTGCCACGCATCAGATACGAGTGGCTCAGTGGAACGTGCCTCGGACAGTGCCAGGGAGGGGTTCGGTGAACCCAAATGGCTGCTTTCGATGCCACCCCTTCAATCAAACCATTTAGCATTCATGTATAAACAAACACAGGGCTTTTTATAAAAAGTCCTCAAAGATGGCAATTACTTGAAAGTGCACGCAAGTGATATAGTCAAGCAACACACAAATGAAATCAAGCAAATGTAGGAGGTTTTACAGAGAAGTACAAAAGAAACTTGTATAAGACACCCATCGGAGTAGACTCATGCTGCTAAGCAAAACAGGGGCTGGGAAACACACAGCCAGCAGGGGGCGCCTCAGTCACTGTCCTCGCTTGACCAGTGGAAGTCTCCCACAGCCAAGGCCATGTGAATCTTGTGCCTCTTTCGGACTCTGCAGGACTTGGAAGAGTTCTGCTGGGCCCGCATGTTGACCCGTATGCTCGGGCACAGCGTGGGCCTGGGGACGAGCGTGTCCCCAAGTGCCTCCATCATGGCCTGCAGGCTCCGCCCATCCACCTCCCCGTTACTGGGGGCCCTGATCTCACAAGCCATCTCCAGGCTCTTCGACTCCTCCATCCTTGACTCAAAGAACAACTCTGAGCTAATCTTTGTGGCAACGGGCAAGAAAGGCTGAGAAGGGAGAGAAGACAGTAGGACAATAAAAAGAAAGGATTAGGAGGAAAGGCGCAGTGCGACAGAAGCTGTAGTATCATGGTCATTGGGAAGATTGGGTACAGAAACCATGGCATGTACCTTTTGAGAATGATAATACAGGAGAAAGGGAAATAAAAACAAACAGGCACGCAAGATCAAAATCAGAGAATAAAAGTCAGTACTGGGTCATACCGTGAACTTCAGCAGTGAAGGAGATGGAGAACAGAGCAGGTAAGGCAATGCATTCTGGGGGGAAAACGAGTGTAGTGCCGCAGAACGGCATGAAAAGTAGCATGAGGAGACTGGGGTTAGTCAGCAAGAAGCCAGAGGGACTAAGGTCAGGTACCAGTGCAGCATGATAACCATCTTGAGACTGGCCAGAGACACACAGACTGGAAGCTCTGGTGGTCAGAGTGCTCTATGAAAAGGCAGAATGGTGAGCGGGAGAGAAAGCAGCCCCCTGCCCTTCAGGCCAATGTGGGCCACTCCCTGCTGTATGCGGGGGCCCCCTAATGCCAAGCTTCCTGGGGCCACTCCCTGCTGTATGCGGGGGCCCCCTAATGCCAAGCTTCCTGGGGCCACTCCCTGCTGATTGCGGGGGCCCCCTAATGCCAAGCTTCCTGGGGCCACTCCCTGCTGATTGCGGGGGCCCCCTAATGCCAAGCTTCCTGGGGCCGCTCCCTTTTCAAAGCCGGGGGCCCGGTAACAACTCAATTCCTGCGGGCCGCTCCCTCCTAAACGCAGAGGTCCGGCAGGCACTCAGCCTGGTGCCATATTGGCACCACGTCACAGAATGGGCAAACAACACAGATCCCTACATGTGCAGCGCAGGAAAGCAGGCTTCCACGAGTGACGCGCTCGGGGGGTGGGGGCTCACCGGCTCGCTGGACTGCTCGGTCAGCTTGCGCTCCCAGATTTTAAGCCGGTGCTCCCTCTCCTTCAGCTCCTGTTCCTTGGTACTCAGGTCCCTCTCCAGTTTCTTCAGTCTCTCCAGCGTGGCCTCGATCTCGCACCTGAACCGAACAGGGTCACATGGTCAGCATGGACATGTGACACAGCCCACTTCCTGCTATTTCATTCCCAGTCTGAGAACAAGATACCGTGGCAGCCAGCTAGTGGCAACTAGCTGGGAGCATTTGATGCTGCTACAAACTGACAAGCACAAGTACAGTTAACTTGCTTGGGGTGATATATTTGAAAAATTGGGCTTTAGAACATGAGTAAGGTACCGTCTTCATTTAAATGGATGAAGGCAGCTCGTAACTGGGTGGAATAATTTAGATAAATAGAAGCTCATTTAAACCAGTGGTATGATATGGTTTATAGGGACAATCAACAGCAGGTGGCGCTCTCTATTCCAAAGCCTAGGCCTTGCGGAGTCGGAAGAATTTCCAGCCCTCTTTTTGTGGCTATTTTTAAATATGTAAGTAAGATAGCCCAAAATTCCCACCCTAACTTAGCCACCCCTATCCCCCGGCCCCCATCCTCAGATCTTTCCCTCTACGTTCAAAGCTCCTCTCATGAGGAATTTCATTGCTAGCCGCTTTCCTGACAGATGCTTGGGGAGCACGTTTTGCTTGTTCCTCTTCCTCACACTCTTCCCCCCAGCTTCCTTTGCCCCTCTCCACATTGACCTCAGGTGCCCATAGCGGTGATAGTGGAAACAAGATCACCCCCATCATGGTACCCTGGACCAGCTCCAGAACAAGGCGTTCTTATTATAGACCACAGCTAGAATCTTCTGGACCAGAATTAACTGGAAAAGGCATTCCCTTTTCTCCAGAACTGAGTACTGTTTGCCATCAGTGTTGCCACCGAGAGTGTTTCTAGTTTTAAAAGGAGCCATTGGGAATAGCCAGAACCTAAATAATACCTTCCATTTTGCATTGTGACATCATAAGGGGAGACTACAGCATGAAATCAGTGCAGGAAATCCTGAATGCCCTCAATGAACTTTCCTCTTGATGAAGGTAAGAATAGGAGACAGAACTATTCATCAGGATCCACCTATTTCCCCGGGCGAGGAGACGTCATCGCCAGTCTCAGGAGGAGGAGGAGGACCTTGTGCTCTCCTCCATCTCCTCTGAGTACGCTCAGGTGCCCGTCCTGTCCCTGGGGGCCGACTGATCTAAAGCTGCTGATTGGCCAGGAAGGCTCGCCTTAGCATAAGGGCAGGATGTTACCGCAAGACCCCGGCTGATCTACGGAGGGGAGACGAGGCAACGAGGCAGACGCGACTTACGCTGCAGCTGCCCTGCGCAATCATGCCTCGCCTGCGCAGCCTTCTACAGGCCAATTAAACACTTTAGCTTGAAAGGAACTTTGATTCTTTTCAGCTTGGGGCACGACGAGAAGGAGCAGCAGATGGAAGATACTGTGCCTTTAGCCTTCAACTTAGAAATGCTTTTAATATCTATATTTAATATCAGTGTATTGCATTCACGCCCGATTCAGTCACTTCTAGATGTTTCTCTGCACCAGTGACAACATCTGTGCAGACTGAGGAACCAAATGGAAAGTCACTGCTGTGGCGTGTGGGACAGTACATTTACATGTATTTTTAATTAGCAGACACGTATTTTCGGAGTACCTCCACTCTGCCTTGTTCTGCAGGAAGGAGTTGCACTGCTCAGGAAGCTGACTGTCGTTAGACATGAACTCCAAGGTTGACAATATGTGCTTGAATACTGGCCTTTCCTGGAGAAGGAAAAATTACAGTTACCCATCCATCCATTTTCTATATTGTCCTATTCAGGGTCACGGGAGAATCGACTCCTTCCCAGAATCTATGGGAGCAAGGCAGGGAATAACCTAGGATAGGGCACCAACGCCATTCACAGGCACAGAATAACCTAGGATAGGGCACCAACGCCATTCACAGGCACAGAATAACCTAGGATAGGGCACCAACGCCATTCACAGGCACAGAATAACCTAGAATAGGGCACCAACGCCATTCACAGGCACAGAATAACCTAGGATAGGACACCAACACCATTCACACCTACAGACAATCTTGTAATTTCATTCACCGTAACATGTTATTGGATTGTGGGGGGAGGGGGAAACGATACAGGGAGAACATACAAACTCCACACACATGGAGCCAGAGCAGAGACTCGAACCCCAGTCCCCAGCCCTGAGATGGACTGGCATCCCTTCCAGGGTGTCCCCAGCCCTGGGCCCCCTGTTTCCAGGGAGAGGCTACACCATGACCTTTATTTTTTTACTGAAAAAGCAGGTTTGAATGAAGAATATGAATGAAGAATATCTTAGGGTATATATAGCTTTTGTCCCCTTCTCTGTGGGACAGGCCTTATTGGTTCCATCCGGCAGGCTATTGGCTTGCCTGACAAACCCTTCATTCTTCATTAAACTGACCCTGACAAACAATGAGCTACAACCCAAACCTGTTGGTAAATCCCATGCTGCCCCACAATTCCCAAGCACATTTACAGACATGTGTGTGCAATGTGTGCAAGCCTGCATCTACCAAACAAACAGGTTACAGCAGCAGTTTCGAACATCTTAGACCTGCCCTCTGGGTATGTTTGTCAAAGATCATCAAACATGTTTTTGCACAGTTTCTGCTTGACTCAGCAAGCAGGAAACATCAAGCTGGCATGTTGTCGAGAGTAGTTACAGTGTATAGATAAGGCTGTGCCTGCAGTACTGGCTGCATACTGTGATCATCCCGGACACAAGGGGGCGCCATACCTTGGGCTCAGTCAACCAGCACTTCCTCATCAAGTCAGCAAAACTGGCTGGGCAGCTGCTGGGGATAGTTAACCTCTGCAATGTGAAAAGAGCCAACGTGTGTTCATAAAATAAACAGTCTGAACTGGTTTGATTGGTTAGACAAGAAGAATCCTAAAGCTTCTCTCCCATATTAAATGCAGTAACTGAAACAGTAATATAATAAAGATAAGCTTTACATTATTTGAGAGTGAAATCACTTTGCCAACCCTGTGATTTGAACAATGACAGGCTGAGCCGAGCCACACACTTGGGGGGAGGGGGGAGAGCCCGACTCCACCCAACAAGGTGCAGAGATCTGTCCGCTTGGTAAGTCATGACTATGCAAGAAGTGGCTGTGTAAACTAAGTTGCCGTTTTCACAATTTTTCATGTTTAGTATTGGGATATAATGGTCCACAATTGACGGTTTAGTACAAACCTGGGTTTTGGGTTCACGGTTTGGTGCAATTTTGGTACAGCAGGGATAACAGAATTTGTTGTGAGATTTATTATTATTAAAACCGGAAAAACAATTAGGAAAAGTTGTAAACCAGAGGCAATGCATCTGTCCACGTGTCTGAATAACAAGATTCAGTTATCCGCACATTGTAAAATTTATAAAAATCGAAAATATAACACTGTAAACTAACTTGTTTCAGGCTTGCTCCGGTCTGGTCATACACACGTTGTCTCATGTATTTTCAGAAACATATTCAAATTCAATATAGCAGCCAGACAGCCCTGGTTTTTATCAGCGACTCTCTCCAGTGTTGGTGCAATTTATTAGAAAACCAAAATGTTCCCAGACCAGTCATTATGACTGATTGTAACCAGGATTAGCCATAGCAAACCCACAGCCACAATTAGCAATGTTTAGTTTTTTTGGAATTTAGGCTCTGCCCTTGTCAAGAAATGTGTTCATTCAGAAAACTGAAATATGTATTGCCAATAAATCAAGAGAAAATTAAGTAAAATATTGAAAACGACTGTAATTTTTTTTATAGTTAATAAAACACACCTTTTTAAAAACGTCGTAAATGTACGGTAATGATCAATGAACATGTCGCCATGAAGCTAAATATACAGTGATAATCAATAAACCACGTCGCTATTGAGCAAAACAAAACTGAAACTGAAAACTCATGTTTTGATGTTGAACTTCAACAAAAACACAAACAAAAAACACAACAAGGTATTCAAACTAAAAATTTGATTTTTTTGAATAAATATTTAATTTTCATTTGCATATATATTTTGATATTTCAGATTCAGGTCTTATTTTTTTTTACAGTTTCAAATATTTCTTCCAATTTCAGACCTTTTTTCATTTTCACATATTATTTTAATGTCATACGTTTGGCACTGATTTGGCGTAGGCGCGTGGCATTAACTGAGAGGGGCGCGGTATCAACTGAGAGGGGCGCGGTAGCAACTGAGAGGGGCGCGGTAGCAACTGAGAGGGGCGCGGTATCAACTGAGAGGGGTGCGGTAGCAACTGAGAGGGGCGCGGTATCAACTGAGGTGGGCGCGGTATCAACTGAGAGGGGCGCGGTATCAACTGAGAGGGGCGCGGTATCAACTGAGAGGGGCGCGGTATCAACTGAGGTGGGCGCGGTATCAACTGATAACATTAATCATCACGCTTGTGTCATTGGCCAAACAACTGATAAACACGTAACAAGTGTGGTGTTTATCAGTTGGAAGGAGATGGTGGAAGAGATTTTGCATGACAGCTCAATCTGACAGGTGAAATGTTCACATGCTGAGTATGAATGCATGGTGTTCGGAAATAAAATGATTTTTCTTAGTCAACATGTTTCAGGCAGTTTTTTTTTTGTTTATTAGACGTGTTCATTTCGCGATGATGGAAAAATGATTTATCAATCAGCACAAATGCTCAAAACAAAAAACATAATGGGTGGTTAGGGAACATTTTGGTTTACCAATAAAGTACACCAGCACTGGAGAGACCAGCACTGCAGAGACCAGCACTGCAGAGACCAGCACTGCAGAGACCAGCACTGCAGAGTTGATAAGACCAAGAACTGTAGTTGATAAGACCAAGACTGTCGGCTCGGTTATGCCAGACTTGGAGATGTTGCTGGAAACATCCCATACTGTATGCTAACCTCTTTCAGATGTAATCATCTGAATGTGTGTAGGACCACAGCGAGGCAGAAACAGCCTCTGCAAGGCAGTCTCCCCGAGGCGCGGCCATACCCGGTAGTAGAGCGACACGAATCAGTTCATTATGATTAGAATAATCATATATAACGATAGTATTTGTTTGTCCTAAAATGTAATCGGTTCCATTCCGGCCCCCTTAAAATGCCTCTGAAAATTTTGAAAAAGACCCATTAAATCATTACTCAGTTACCATCTTATAATGGGATTAAGTGTCAAAATTGCCCTTTTTTGCATATTACTATGAGGCGCTGGGTGGAGAAAACAATTATAAATACATGGGTAGATAAAATTAGAACTCATCTTATCTTACATGGCATGTCATTGTCTAGAAGCCTACAAGAAACCATTGTCCTAAAAGGTCATAGGCAGGCAGGGTTATGTTACTGCCGTACCTGGGAGCCTGTTATTCTGGATAGAGAGTCAGCATTTCAGGGAAATCAAGTCCAGGTTCAGAATTCAATGAAGAGCTCCAAGGAGACAAGGCTACATCCAGTCCCCATATCTAATGATTAAGCATGCTCTTCCACTGGCTGAATGATGGTGGTCCTTCAGACCAACCAGAAAACCTACCTGCAGGGTGCAGGAGAAGCATTTATGGCAAGGAGTCACCATAGGAACGTACCTCATTTTTCTCTACGACCAGCCAGGCCACCTGCAGGCCCTCAAGACCTTTGAAGGGAACCTCACGGGTGAGCATCTCCCACAGGACCTGCGAGGCGTTCCAGTAACGTGTCTTAAATTACAAGGCCCATGACCGAGTTTCCCGAATAAAATGTCCATTAATCATTAAATGTGGCTCAGGAATGAAATGGAGCAACTCTACAGTGACATACAAATGACATGAGCCAGAAGTATATTTTGCAGGCCAGAACCATCACCAAGCCCTTGTGTGACCCTGCAGCCCCAAACCCCCTACACGTCTCAGTGATTTACGAGCACAGCAGTCAGACCGGGAATCCGCACGTGACCTCGCGAGCTCACTCACCACTCCGTAGGAGTATGCGTCACAGGTCTCTGACACAGGCAGGCTCTGGATCACCTCAGGAGCCATCCATGGGAAGGTGCCCACCAGGGACATGTGCGTAGTGTGCGAGTGGAACTTAGAGGCACCAAAGTCACAGATCTGGGACACATCAGAAACACGGGCCATTCAGCAGACTGGACGCCGCAGGGCCAATGGAAAACTGACACAGGGAAAAACTTGCTCGGAAAAAAGCAGATACCTTCAGCACTTTGTCTGCGGTCATCACCACTGCAGCACAACACAGAGATTCCACATCAGTGACAACAAATAAGATACAATAAAACCACTTTATACATTAATAGATAATATATAATTAAAATATACAATACAATTTTTCCCTGCTTACCCATACTCCCACATTTATCAAAACAACAAGTCATTCTATTTCTATTGGCTTTCTATGCACAATGATTAAGAACACCTGTAGACAATCTTATCCAGAAAAGGCCATTGTATTTGCAGGTTTTCTCTGCAACTCTCTAATTAGATCACTAATTAGAGGACTCATTGGCTGAAGAGTCCTCACACCTGGGTTTGAGCAGATGACCTAAAGGTTATCTCAAAATACTGCATACACTGGCCCTTTGAGGATAAAATTGTCTACCCCTGATTTAGAATACAATTAATTATATCGGAGAAACTTTTTTTTTTTTTTTTACCATTCCTGGACTTCAGATCTCTGTGGATAACCTTTATTGGAGCTTCTGAGTGCAAATAGTGCATTCCTATTTTAGGAAGAAACAAAGATTTTAATGTACAACATCAGTGGAGATGGCAAGTAAATAACAAATATTTGGAACCTGCACCCATACAACACAAAGTATGCGGTACTTGAGACTTTAATTAGCATGAACCCTGGGGGTCACATCTGGCCCACACCCAAAGAAAGACACAATGACGGCTTTGCTTTTCATCAGCGCTTGGCAAACAGGAAGTGGTTTGTGTCTAGGGTGCTCTGCTATTATGGCTATGCTGCACTATGAGCAGGTATAGATGCACCAGATTCATTAATAAACAACTTGAAAAAATGCCACCATACTGTTCTGATAATTAGTTTTGCATTTATAACTGGGTAGGTGGCTTATTTGGCCTCACAACTCCAGCGTTGTGGGACCCATTGGCATCCCTGGTCCCGTGTGTGGAGTTTGCATATCTGCCTGGTGTAGGTTCCAGGGTCACTGAGACCCTGTCCTGGATAAGCAGTGATGGAAAATGGATGGAAGGTTGATTTACAACTTCAAGCAGAAGCTCGAATCACAGAAGGTAAGAACCTGCACTTCAGCCATCAGCTGATCGATTACACGAACAACAAAGAGGTCGGGAATGCCTCCTACCTTTGGCTATCTCCATGGCCCAGGTCATGATTTGTCTGATGTCCATCTGCTCACTCTCAATGCTGGACAGATACTCATACAACGAACCTCTGCTTGCATATTCTGTTACAAAACACAAAAATATCATCTTTATAATACGTAAAAATGAGTGGCAACTCATTGCTTTGATTGTCCCGATAACCTTGTATAAGTTTTGATTTGCTTTCATTATATTTTTAAATCACACCATCTCTCGTCAGTATCTCCTCAGTTAAAGAGATGACTCTTGTGAAAGTGAAGACGGGACCAGAAAGCACAGGAGCATCCTCCATCGGGATCACACGC